AAAAACCCAAAAACTAGCTCCGAAAATCACAGAAAATGTGGATGGAGGAAGAAGGAGCTGCTACTGAGCTGGATGGCTGAAGGAGCCGCGGATGGCACGTGCAGGAGCCGCAACCACGTCGGGGCGGATGCAGAAAGGAGCAGCGGTTTATACGCACGACGGAGAGATGGGACACCTTCGACGACAATCGAAGCACCTCCTCCGTCGCTGTCCGCCGCAACTGGTGAAGGAGCTGCGGATGGCAGCTGCAGGAGTCGGGGCAGATGCAGAAGAAGCAGGGATTTGGACACGGGGCAAAGAGAGGGAAGACCTTGCCCCTACCACCGCTCGTCGGCTCGGCTCCGAGTTGTGGCAGAACCGCCACTTTATACTAATCAAAAACTTACTCGCTTACCAACGATCACCAAGTAAGCAAGGATTAATTTAAATCCGGTTGTACGTCGAGTCCACCGTCCCGAAGAACTCGAAATCATCCACGTACGTTTGATACAGGATTCATGAATGAGTAGCAAAGTATATAAATAATATTACAAGCTTCAGTTCCAAATACATTACAACACCAGCTTTTAGAGTGGCAGCGGAATTTAATACATACGGATTATAATACCAGAGGTTCCCTTTTTACATTATCGAAAGCTTAAGCCGGCGCTACAAACTTAACTACGATAGTGGTCGAAGCTGAAATCCCCACTGTGTCCACCAGAGAGGATTCAAAGCAGAAGCGGAAGCAACATACGGGTACACTCTTCTAAGGAAGGACGTATAGGTGGGAATAATTTTCCGACTCTCAAGGATATGCAGGGGCTATTTGGCTTGCTAGTTCATTTACTTTTTGCAAGAAAGCATTACTAGGAGTGCATCCTTATATTCGAAGTTTTAGCAATCATATTAAGTGCATCACCTAACCATTCTAGTTAAGCACATGTGTTACTTTCAAGCATGTGGTAAACAATTAGAACAACTTAATTCCCTTCTCCAACTTCCACCAGGTTCAGTTGTATTACTACGATGCTAGACAATGGCAAGTGGTATCCATATCCGATGAGAGCAGCGATCGCAATCGATGTACATCCAGCTAGGCAATCCCAAACACACGCCTGTACTTCTCGAAAGAGCAAGTACAAGCAACCGTTCCGATCATACAACCTAGGTCTGTGAGCGACCCGACCATCCTGGGGAACCCACCCTATGAGGCCCGCCCCACCGAGCGACGACGAGTTTCCCCCTCATAAGTTTGGTCCATGGACATTCCCCGCCTCCTAACAACTCCTCGAATGGTCAGTGTAACACTCCAATAAACTTTTTAGGGACCCCGAGTCATAGGAAAGTACTTAGCTTCACGGTCAATTGTAACTCAGGCCCCTGCTATGTGTTCGGTACCTTCAAACTTAAACAGCGGTCTAGCCAACGATACGGTCCTTGATCGACACAGGCGAGACTAAATATGCACCCAAGACCTCCATGTCCTGTTGCATTCACCAACCCACTCCCACCCCGTCTCCAATTATAGCATGTCATGTGATGTAAAACAAGATAGAACCTATGGTAACGACAAGTCACTCACGCTACCGATGTTCCTAAGCATAGTAACTACTCGAACATGTCATACTAGTACGACTCATAAAATATATATATATATATATAACACAATTCCTATAACTTAATGCATACATCATAATTTAACAGGTACTTAAAAATATAGGGGTCATGCACCAGGGCTTGCCTTGGTTCTCGACTGGGTCAGTGGAAAAGTCAGGAGGGGCTTCAGGAACACCGTCAACAAGGACCTCCTTCTCGTACTCCGGCTCCGCGTCCGGCACGAAATCGATTGCCACGTCACCTATATGCACAAAGAATGCAAGGATGGTTTAATACTCCTACAGATATCACACAATCTAACACTAATAATAGCATCTATGGATAGAGCACAATTTTATGAACCCGACGAAACTTGTTTCACATTTTCGATTTTTCTATAATTTCTAGTGAATTTTCGAAGTTCTGCAACTAAACTAAAAAGAAAAACGAATTTCCATCAGGCATTGGCCCATGCGGCCAGCTGCAGCCACGGCAGAGGCCCAGGCGCGCGCGGCCAAGGCCCATGGGCGCACGGCGCGGCGGCCCAGCCAGGCTTCCCACACCACCACGCGATTTATGCAGAGAACACCCTGGACTTCTTCATCTTCTCCCCCGAGGTCCCTGCTCCTCTTCTCCAAACAGAAACAGAGGGCGCACCGGCCGGTCAAATTTCCGGCCGAGCCGGCCACGATAGCGGAAGAGGGAGCGCAAGGCAGCACCCAAGGCCCACGCCAGGACAGGGCGCGGCGGCCTGGCCGCGCGCACGCGCGGGGACGCGGCGACACGAACGCCGGCCACGGCCATGGCGGCAACCAGCGACGCCGACGGGGCACGATAAAGGGAGAAAAAAAGGCGCGGAGGCTTACCAGGCTTCACGGCACGAGCAGGGGACGCACGAATCGACGAACGAAGAAAAATCGCGGACGATTTTGAGAGACAGACAGAGAAACGGAGCCGGCAGCCGAGTTATATACGAAACGGCGAGACCAGCGCTTGCCCATCGGTCCGAAAGGGGCGCGTCCTCCTCCCCTGTACCCACAGCGCCGGCACAGGAAGCACAGGCTCAGCGGCACAGGACCGGAGATGGGCGGCGACGAGCTCCTGTCAGAGTGTACGAGCGCTCCCTCTCTCTGTGTGCGGGAAACCCGGGCGCGATGAAGACTTCGGCCACGGCATGGGCAGCACGCTGTCGCGGCATGCTCGACGGGCCCGCCGGCGCGGCCACCTAATCGGCGCGGCAATCGCCCCTGCGCGCGTGCGGGCGAGCACGCTGTCGCGGCCGTCGCTGGACCGTGCGGCAGTCCGCTCCCCTCCTCCTCTTTTTCTTTTTCCTTTTTTTTCCAAAACTGAATTACTTTCCTTTCTTTTTTTAACAGAGAAAGGGGAGCCACGTGCGGTCTGCTGGCCATCTTTTTTTTGTTTTTCTCTTTTCCTTAATTAACATTATTAGCACACATAAAACCAGCTTCACCTCGATCTCTAGCACGGCTTAAGATAATTATAAAGTAACACCGGGGTGTTACACGAGTCTCCGACAGCAACGGGTTCGTCACCCGACCCCCCCCCTGCGCTGTGCAAGGGGAAGAAGGAGCGTTGAGTGCTCGTTCGGGAAGGGAAGGCCGTGGTGTTGGATGGGGGAGGGGGTCTGCTGGGCCGGCCCGTCGTGGCCTGGTGTCGCGCACTTCGGGCAGAGCGCTTCCGGTCGCCTGATAGGCTTTGCGCATATGGAAAGACTTTCTATCTGGATCATACGGACATACGTCACCTGATTTGGGCTGAAGTTGGAACGCAAATGCTCCTACACGGATGTTCGGCCTATTTTTTTCGTGTCGAACGCTTTTTTAACTTGGCTAGAATCTGTACAGCTTGTCAACGGACCAACAATCTTCATCTTTCTCTCCCACGCCGCTGCTTGTCTCCCTCACACGGTTTCTCGTCTCCCTAACGATGACGCGACTGCTTGTCTCGCCTTACTCCCTCAATGCCTGCTTTCCTCCCTCACGGCCCCACCCGCCCGCGCCGTCCTTGCTCTTCCCTCGCCGCTGCACCCGCTCGCCTTCCTACCTCATCTCCATGGCGGCCAAGTGGATCTAAGTGGACACCTCTATGGTGAGGTGTTTTTCGGCTATGAAATTCTCCATGGTCGGGTGTCTCTCGACGACGAACTACACGCTGGAGGGTTGGCCTCGCTAGCGACAAAGCTCCTCCATGGTGGTTGGGCTCCTTCACAGGCAAGCGCAACCGAATATGCACTCTAAGGTGGGTTATGTTGTAGTATGTGATATGCTCCGACAGTCATTTTTGGATGTTACATGTTTTATGGCACTCAGCATATATTTTAGATTTCACGATGTTGCGACAGTCGATTTGAGATGTTAGAACATGTTTTTCTGGATGTTGCAATAGTCGTTTTATGATGTTGCAACATGTTTTTTTTTATGTTGCAACATGTTTTTTTTTGATATTGCAACAGTCGATTTGAGATGTTGCAACATGTTTTTTAAATGTTGCAAAAGTCGATTTTATATGTTGTAACTGTCGATTTAAGATGTTACAAATTTAAGATGTTGCAATATGGTTTTTTGATGTTACATGAGGTTTCAGTATGTTGCGAACCTTTGTTCTTGAATATAGCCAGCAATGATTAACATCTGAACCATTTGTCTCTCTTTCCATCTCTCTCCCTCATATATGGCAAGGTGCGGTGTCAAACACTATAAGAAGCGTAGCCACCATTATCGTGGTTTACTATTGCATCAAAGGTGAAAGGAGGGAGCTGGAAGGGGATGAGCGCTGGGTGGGACGGGTAGATAAAAAACCTCTGAATACGAAAGAAAAGGAACACAGCGGAAGCCTCTGAATGAAGAAGACGAGTAGAGCAGAAGCGTCCAGATTAATTGTTTATATCCAGACGTGCCGATGCATTTCCTAAACACCAAGCGCGCTCAATGGCAGACGCCAGCGCAATTGCTCCGAAAGAAATGGCAGACGCCAACGCCATAAACCCTTCTCCTGATGTCTCTCTCTCTCTCTCTCTCTCTCTCTGCTCTAGTGCTCTGACGTGTTGAGCTGTTCCTTGCCCTGTACTGTAGGCTTCTACGGTTCTCACTAGTCACTAGTCACCTCGTCTTCCACCGCCTTCCTCGCCGTCCCATTGCATTGTTGCAGGCTTCCAGCAGCTGGTAAGCTCCCCTGCATTGCACGGAGATCGGTGTTGGAGCTAGGTGAGCGTGAGCGTGAGCTCAAAAGAAGGGGAGCCCCAGGAGGACCAGCGTCTGTGACCTGTGTGTCACTCACTGTGCTCTCGGTCTCCGCTTGCTATTTTGGGGCAGAGCAGAGGCGGGGGAGAGGGAGCCGGTCTGGTCGGGTCGGGTCTGGTCCGGTCTCCGGTCGGGTCACCTGCGTTCTCGCGCCGCCCGTCGATGGCGCCGTGGAAAGGCCTCTGGGGCGGCAGGGCCGTCCTCGCCGGCCGCGACGCCTACCGCGGCACCCCGGTCGTCGTCCGGATGGAGAACCCCAACAGCTGGTCCATCTCCGAGATCGACGACGACGAAGACGACGATGACTACGGCGGGGGCCGGAGGCGGCGGCGGAGGAGGAGGAGGGGCAAGAACGCGAAGCGGATCATCTGGGTGCTGCTCCTCAAGGCGCACCGCGCCGCGGGGTGCCTGGCGTGGCTGGCCTCCGCGGCCGTCACGCTCGGGTGCGCGGCGCGGCGCCGCGTCGCGGCCGGCCGGACGGACGCCGACGACGGAGCGCCCGCGCCCGTCCCCGCGTCCGCTCCCACGAGTCCGCCGCCGCGGCGTTCCCGGCTCTACGCGTTCATCCGGGCGCTGCTCCTGCTGTCGCTGTTCCTCCTGGCCGCCGAGCTCGCCGCGCACGCCAACGGCCGGCGCTTCGCCGCCGCTGCGGTGTCGCTCGGCTCGCTCCACGCCTCCTGGGTGCGCTTCCGCGCCGCCTACGTGGCGCCGCCGCTCCAGCGCCTCGGCGACGCCTGCGTCGCGCTCTTCCTCGTCCAGAGCGTCGACCGCGTCGCCCAGAGCCTCGGCTGCCTCTACATCCGCCTCAGGCGCGTCAGGCCCGAGCCCGTGTCGCCGCCGGCGGTGCCCGACGCCGAGGACCCCGGCGCCGGCTACTTCCCCATGGTGCTCGTCCAGATACCAATGTGCAACGAGAAGGAGGTGAAAACTGCAGCATTTCTCCACTTGCATTTGCAATTCCGCCTAAAAATTCAAAATTTTGACCCACACAAGCTCAATTCCAACAACCAACATGATGATGTTCGTAGCTCTGTTCCATTCAGGTGTACCAGCAGTCCATCGCGGCGGTCTGCAACTTGGACTGGCCGAGGTCCAGCCTGCTGGTGCAGGTGCTGGACGATTCCGACGACCCCGTCACGCAGGCACTGATCAGGGAGGAGGTGGACAGGTGGCGGCGCCACGGCGTGTGCATCGTGTACCGCCACCGCGTGCTCAGGGAAGGGTACAAGGCCGGCAACCTCAAGTCGGCGATGAGCTGCAGCTACGTCAAGGACTACGAGTACGTGGCCATCTTCGACGCCGACTTCCAGCCTTACCCTGACTTCCTGCGGCGCACGGTGCCGCATTTCAAGGTAGCTTGAGCCTTGAGGTGAATTCATTCATCCATTGCTTGCTTGGATCGATCATGCCGAATTGCGCGCATGGCCGGCATTCCGATGATCGCTGTATGACACGTTGTGTTGGATGGTATGTATGCATTTTGCAGGACAATGAGGATTTGGGGCTGGTGCAGGCGCGGTGGTCGTTCGTGAACAAGGATGAGAACCTGCTGACGCGGCTGCAGAACATCAACCTGTGCTTCCACTTCGAGGTGGAGCAGCAGGTGAACGGCGTGTTCATCAACTTCTTCGGGTTCAACGGCACGGCCGGGGTGTGGAGGATCAGGGCTCTGGAGGATTCAGGGGGCTGGATGGAGCGGACCACCGTCGAGGACATGGACGTCGCGGTCCGGGCGCATCTCAAAGGCTGGAAGTTCATCTTCCTCAACGATGTGGAGGTACATCAGTATTACATGATGTTGAATTTCTCTAGGACGTAGTTGGGACTTGGGATGTCAGCAACATCTGTGCTGAAGCATCGATTTCATGTTTGGACAGTGCCAGTGCGAGTTGCCGGAGTCGTACGAGGCTTACCGGAAGCAGCAGCACCGGTGGCATTCAGGGCCAATGCAGCTCTTCAGGCTGTGCTTGCCGGACATCATCAGATGCAAGGTATTGTACAGTATCACCTACAAATTTGTGATTACATTGCCATCCAGTTCATCATCTTTGTCCCAATTATGAAATTAAATCTTGTTTTTGGTTTGCATTGCGTTGCAGATGGCGGTGTGGAAGAAGGCGAACCTGATCTTCCTCTTCTTCCTGCTGCGGAAGCTGATCCTGCCCTTCTACTCCTTCACGCTCTTCTGCATCATCCTGCCGCTGACCATGTTCGTGCCCGAAGCCGAGCTCCCGGACTGGGTGGTGTGTTACGTCCCCGCGCTCATGTCGCTGCTCAACGTGGCGCCGGCGCCCCGGTCGTTCCCGTTCGTGATCCCGTACCTCCTGTTCGAGAACACCATGTCCGTGACCAAGTTCAACGCCATGGTGTCCGGCCTGTTCCAGCTCCGCGGCGCCTACGAGTGGGTGGTCACCAAGAAGTCCGGCCGCCCGTCGTCGGAGCAAGGCCTCGCCGCCGCGCCGGCTACCAAGTGCCAGCAGCAGCGGGAGGATGAGGAGGCCGTGACGGAGCAGACTGGGACGACGAGGACGAGGAGGTACAACCGGATGTACAAGAAGGAGCTGGCGCTGTCGCTGCTGCTGCTGACGGCCGCCGCCCGGAGCTTGCTGTCGAAGCAAGGGATGCACTTCTACTTCCTGCTGTTCCAGGGGGTCTCGTTCCTCTTGGTCGGCCTCGACCTCATCGGCGAGGACGTGAAATGAGGCCGTGGATGGCTATGGATGTAGTAGCTCTAGGCTCTTCTAGGCTGTAGCTCCGTTCAGGGATAGGGTGATGATTAGTGGTAGTGCCTGGAATTGTTCAGTTCAGTCCTCTGAATTCTCGTAGAATGTCTGGTAGTAGTGTAGATATCTCAGCTCTGACTTGTCGCGTGTAAATTCTCGTAGCTGCTTAGAGGATAGAGATTAGCAGAGTCTCGATCGATTCTTTTGTATGAACGAAGCCGCTGTTGCTCAGTCATTTGCGTTGCTTGGTTTTCTGATGGATGACTGCTGCACCAGCACCTGCACCTGCATCACCATCGCCAATTCGCCATTGCGATTGCACAGCTCTGAACCGTGACGCGTGACGTGCGGGCTGTTCTGTTCATCGCCCGGGGCGGCAGGGCATGCAGGCCGGCTGGCCGGGGAAGAAGGACAGGGCCAGCTCTGCTGTGGTGGTGGCGATCGGTCACACCCTCACGTGAATGGGTCAGGTTGTCGGCGGTTGGTACAGACTACAGACTACAGAGAGACTCATGCGATGTGGTTCAGTGTTGAATTCTTCTTCGCGTCGCGTGGGCAGGTACGTACACTCCTCATGCACCGCATCCCCTCTATACATTCAGTTTTGTTAACGTCACGCAATTTTTCTCCTCAGCCTCTAAGAAAAAAAGTCATCCAATGGCCATGAAAATTTATCACAAAAACTTGTATCTTCAGCCGTTGCACATATTTTCATCGCAAAATGTTTTGGCTTTTCCTTCCTTTTACAAGTCAACATGCTCCCTCCATTCCAAATTATTTAGCATTTTTTCCGTTTTTTTTAATGTATGTTTAGGTGCAATAGTAAAAGTTATTTATCAAAAAAAAGTCAGAACAACTTATAGTTTGGATCAGAGAGAGTACAACACAAGTCGCTATTTTAAGACTTTTCCACCGTGTCTCTCTCCTCAGTTCGCATATATTAATGTTGTAATCGATGTGATGCCCTACATCAAAATGATTTTATAAAGTACCTGTCAATTAAGCGTATTTGTAGTGCAAACTAGCCAATATCGCATAATTTCAACTCGCCACGGCAAAAATTTCCATCTGTTTTAATCTAAATTTTGTCCTGTTTTTCCAACATAGAAATCGCCATTTGAGTTGCCGTTTCATGGGACTTTTATATCTACTTATTAGAAATGCTTTCATGAATTTTTGAAAATGTATCTAAATAAGCTATTGATATTGCACAAATCGTGCTGTTTTTACAAATGGATCCTACTTTTAAATACATCTATTCTTTGGTTCGTAGTACTTCAATTCCCAGCCCATTGCAAACTCAATAAGGTTAAGCCCAGTTTATGGGCCACAGCCCAGTTGAGGCCCAGTCACCAATTATAATGAGTGGAGTGTCCTTGAGGGCCGTTTTTCACTTATATCGCAGGTGTTCCCTAAAAAAAAACTTATATCGCAGGTTCACTGATCGGAGCGTCAAGTAGTTTTGTAAGTGAATTATGATGGATGAATTTGCATCCGGACCCACATGTCAGTCGTTCAGACGGGTTCAAGCCCAACAGCTCGATATGCAACTCGCGGCTCCATCAGGAAACGAGAATTGGAAGAAGACAGTAGCTAGTAACCAATCAGTGAGAGGCTATAACTTTAACATTAGTAGTGGATTAGTTTTGGAGGAGATGCATCATCTCCGACCTCCATTATACAAAACCCCTCCTTCTCCGGCCACGTCGCGGCCCACGACGGAGCCGGAGAAGAAGGAAACACCAGAGGCCGCGCTGTGCACTCCTGCCCTTGATCATATCGCCTTCACTAACCAATCTCTTATGGCTATTACTACCTAATTAACTCGCTACCTTCCAAGAACCCTAATTAACTTGACTAACTGATCTGATGAAGAAGTCCAACGCAACCGGTCGAGGAGCGCGCGTACGTACGTGCACCGAGCTAGAACGGCCGGCCGGGGTACGTGGTGGTGGCTGGCCGTCGATCGGCCGGAGAGGCGGCGCATGCGTGGTGGAATCGGCCGGTGGCCATGTCATCACTCATGGATCGATCGACTGATCGATACGATCAGGCGTCGGTCCAGGCGGCGAAGACGGGCATGTGCGCGATGGAGACGGCGGCGGCGGCCCTGGCCGACGCCGCCGTGGACGCCCAGGAGCCCAGCGGCATGAGCGGGCTCATCGGCTTGTTGGCGGCCTGCGCCGGAGCCGGCGCCGGCGGCTTGGAGAAGAGCATGGACAGGCCGCCGCCGCGGTCGGGGCTGCCCTCGCGGTAGTTGCCGAGGCTGGTGACGAGCGACGACGCGCTGGACATGGGCATGTGGGCGCTGTGGCTGTGGTGGTGGCCGCCGTCCGCGGCGGTGACCACCAGGTCGTGCAGCACGGAGAAGGCCTCGCCGGAGAGCACGTCGTGGTGGTGGTGGTGCTGGCTTCGATCCCTCGGGGCGGCAGCCAGCGCCGCCGCCGCGGCCACCTTCCACGTCTCGCTGGCGCTGGCGTTATGGTTGGCGCCGGCGCCGGCAGCAGCAGCTACAGCAGCCTGCTGCACCAGGGCGGCCGCCGCCGCAGCGGTCGTGACGCCGCCGCCGCCGCCGGCGTCGGCGCCGGCGATGACGGCGGCGGGGTCGTCGTCCTTCCTGCGGCGCGCGAGGTCGCCCGGCAGCAGCGTGTTGCTGGCCATGATCTTGTCGACGTCGTAGCGCGTGATGTCGAAGTTGGTGACGGCGTTGAGGCCCCGGAACTTGATGGCCGCGATGTCGTACGCCTCCGCCGCCTCCTCCTGCGTGCCTGCAGGCAGCAGCACGGTCGTCGATCAGGTTGGAGTCAGCTGGACGACGACTGCCGTGCATGTCGTTGTCGGTCGTCCATGCACACAACACGTACTCCACTACTAGCTAGCCAAGTCAAGCCACGTCGGCATATGGATGCATGGATGCATGCACGGTGCATGGAGGAATGATCTGAACAGGAGAGCCGGCCGGTCGGGGGCGGGCGGCCGGCATGATGGGGGCGCGGCGGACGGAATCGGTGGTCAAAACTGAAAAGGGGCTCCGTGCAGGTGCAGCAGGGCCCCAGCGCGTGCGATCCACGACAGTGTAAAAACAAGAGAGGCATGTCAGCCTTACGCAAAAGCCCCCTAGCTAGCCTAGCCATCTCTCTCTCTCTCTCTCTCTCTCTGCTAGAAATCAAAATCACACTTGCTGACGCTGATGCAGGCAAGCAGTGACGAGGGCCACACCATGGCATGGCACAACCACAAAGCAAGGACCAAGCAAGCAAAAGGAAATGAGAGGAGTAAAGCAGAAGCAGCAAGACATTCTTTGGTAGGGACGAGGCATGATTGGGGGTGCGCTAAAGCCTTTGCATCCAGCATCGTCCTCGTCCTTACGACAGACTCATGCATCGCCATCGTCCATGGATGCATGCATGCATGATCCACCCGTATCTAGCTAAGGCGCTAAGCTAGCTGACCTACACACTGCATGCTCTCGATCACTCTCTTTCAGAGCTCGATCGATCGGACGCGCGCCGATCGTCTAGACGAGAAATGGCGCGCGACGGGATCGATCGAGCTCGTCGTCGTCGTGAAACCGCCCCGACGACGTCATGGCTCCTCCACCATGCCATGAAGTGCAGTGCGACGCGAATAACTGAATGACGAATGCATTGCAGAGCGTCTATATATGGAATAGAAGCTTGCATGTAGTATAACTGAATGATGAATGCGCATGTATATGTATATGGAAATGGACCAGATGAGCAGATGATGCAGAGGAGGAAGGAAACTGAAGAAGATGGGCGGGGATTGATGATGGATGCGTACTGAAGGTGCCGAGGTAGAGGTCCTTGTTGCCGGAGACGCGGCCGATGCGCGCCTGCCACCGCCCGTGCTGGTGGTGCCTGCATGCGTCGACAACACACATGCTGTCATATATATATATGCATGCCAATGTCAATATCATTGCTGCTGCTCCATATATACAGCTAGGCAGCTAGCTCCTGTATCGATCTATCACTTGCTGTTTGTCAGCCGGTAAAATCTATATAAAAGGAAAAAATATATATAGGAACGACGCATGCATGCATGTGAACATGGCAGCAGTATGTAACTACTGCGGCTGAACATTGTTGGGTTCAGCGGTCGTCTTTGGGGTCATTCATTCAGAGAGTTGAGTTTCAGACCTTGTGACTCCTCGGTACATCGACGCGCCCCGTGAGAAGCCGCTGCTCTTCCTGCATGCACCACACACGCCCATGCATATGAATATCCAGCGGTTAATAATGAACCAGTTGCTCATCAGATAGTAGATGATCGATCGATGGAACATGCATCACTGGCAGCTAGCAGCTTTGGACTTTGGTAGCTAGCTAGCTAGGTCAAACTTGTACCTCCTGAGGTGAGCCACGTACTCCTGCCGTGTCATGTTCTTCATCTCCTCCAGCTCCTCCTGGTAGTCCTCCAGCTGCAAATAAACACCGTACCATGCATTTTGTTTTTTTATTACTTCTTCATTAAGCACAGTCTCAGCTCGATCAGCACTGGTACTCCTACTAGCTAGTAGTAGTGTTATTACAGAGTTACCATGGCTGTCACGCATGCATCACGGTAAAAAAACGAAAATGAGCAAGCAAGAATAGTTACCGGGAAGTTGATGTGGGTGGAGGGGCCCCAGTACTTGAGCGCCGCCAGGTCGTAGGCTCTCGCCGCCTTCTCCTCCATGTCGTACCCGCCTAATACCGACGACACATGCATCCACCCCCAAATTTTACCACCAGCATGTTTTACTTTTACCATGCATCAATGTGTACGCACGCACTGCCAGTGCCAGTGCAGCTAGCTAGCACAGAGACTGTGTGTGTGTGTGTGTGCAGTGCAGCAAAGAGTGCTTACCGAGATAAACTGCAGTGTGACAGTCAGGGGGAGAGAGATCACAAGCCGTACGCGTAAATATTCCGCCATCCCCACACAGCCAGAACCACGTCGGTTTGTTCAACCAC